CAATAACATTTAAATACCATGTGGTAGGGATATTTAATGTTCTGCAGAAAAGAACTCGGCCTGAAATGAAGCAGTAATTACAGCAATAAAGTACTAAAAGTAAAATAAATATAATTCATAATCTTAGATCTGGATAGCCCTCCATCCCATCATTTTACAGCCAAATCTAAGAGTTCTCTTTAGGGACAATGCTGGGAGGGATGGGGATGTTTATTATACTTACAGTTCAAATTGGATGAAAACTGTCATTTTATTTCACTTGAGAGTGATGCTGTACTCACCCAGTGCCCTTTGATTCAGTCTGTATTGGCTTCCTAATTCGTCAGCACATTAACTTTGCCCTAAAAGCTTTTCATTTGAAATTTCCCTTGCAAACATTTAAATATGTACATATATATATATTAATATAGATCCTAGGTCTTGCCAAAGGTAATTAAACCTGTTAGCATTTATTCTATACTTTTATGCTTTGATAAATGGTCTATCATCTTTTCATATGCTTAATTGTCTTTATTATGAAGGGTGTGGGGGTTTTTGTTTTTTTGTTTGTTTTGTTTTTGGTTTTGGTTTTTTTTTTTTTTGAGATGGAGTCTCATTCTGTCGCCTGGGCTGGAGTGCAGTGGCTCAATCTCAGCTCACTGCAACCTCCGCCTCCCGGATTCAAGCGATTCTCCTGCCTCAGCCTCCCAAGTAGCTGGAATTACAGGCGCCTGCTATCACACCCAGCTAATTTTTGTATTTTTAATAGAGACAGGGTTTCACCATATTGTTGAGGCTGGTCTCAAACTCCAGACCTCAGGTGATCCGCCTGCCTCAGCCTCCCGAAGTGCTGGGATTACAGGTTTAAGTGATGGTGCCCAGCTGGCTGTGAGCTTTTAAAGCATTTCTTTTTCTGAGATGCACCACTTTCCTGTTGTTATAACTGACTTTTCAGTAATAATGATTTTGGAAATATTAAAACCTGAATTTTCAAATTTTGAATTTTTTTTCTGTTATAGTAAAAATCCTATCATCTGACATGGTCTAGACCAAAGTTTCTTAGATAACAAAAAGTCAGTAAACTCAGGAAATTGTTGTAAAAGAATGGCTACCTGCTTTATTTTAATATACAACCCATGTATATTAAAAACCATTTGCCAGTCTTTTGATATTAGGCCAATGCTTTTTTCCCTTCGGTTATGAGTCCATTGATTGGCTTGGGACCACTTTTTTTTTCATGAAGCATGACCAGAATACAACGTCTTTAATGAAAATAGCACTTAGAAAAGCAGTCTTAATTCAGAATACATCTAGATTTTTATAGTTTTTATTATTTAATCTTTTATAACTATCACACATACCTAATTTGAGTGAGTTTTTTTTTATTTTAGAAAGTTACCTTCAGTTAGATTTCATTGACTTAGTTTCATTGAAATAGCTCTTTCACATTTCTATTTTGTCAGTTTATATAATATTATATAATTACATCAATAAGTATGGGTCACATACAAACAGTTATTTGCTAAGCAAAGAAGCTATATTCTCTCTTTGTACACATACAACAAATGCACATGTGGGCATATTAGGAAATAGCCTTCTCATTCCCATCACTTCTATAGAGGGAAAAAGGAAAAAAATCTGTCAGAGTCAGTTAAGAGAGATTCTACTGTAAATTGTGTTTACCACATTTTAAAACTTAGGTACATTTGTCCATACATAAATATATGAAAATAAAATGAAAAAAAAAAAGATGAATTGAGAAATCTACCTTACAAAATAAGACCATCTGAAAAACTGTACCCATTGCCATTCACGTAAGTGATTAAGGGTGTTTTTGTCAGAAAATAGGAGAAAGTTTTGGCTTTTTCTACTTGTAATTAAATATGGGAGAAGAAAAGGAAATATGATGTGCAGCCAACTTGGAAAACTATTTGATGATACCTACCTGCTAAAGTTGAATATATTTTTAAGCTGTGATCTAGCAATTCCATGCCTAGGTTTGTATCCAGCAGGTGTGTGTGCGTATGTGATTGTATATGGGTATCTGTATTCACTAAAAGACATGTACAGGAAGGCCTCTAGCAACATTCTTGGTAATGATCAAAAATTGGAAACAACCTAAATGTCTATCAGCAGTAGAATGAATAAATATGTTGTTGTGTACTGAGTTAATGGAAGACTGTATAAGGCGGTAAGAAAAAACAAATTACCACAACATGCACCAATGGTGGTAAATATCACAAAACCTTATGATGAGTAAAAGAAGTCAGACCAAGAAAATACGTATCACATGAAAATGGACATCATTTTTATGATGTTCAAAAATAGGCAAAAGTAAGCAATGCCATTTGAAGTCAGGATAGTGGGTACCTTTTGTGAGAGAGCAAGAAAGTATGACTGGAAGGGAGCACGAAACAACTTTTGGAGTCTTGGAAATACTGTTTCTTGATTGAGGTGCAATTCTTTTTGAGTGTATTCTCTTTGAATTGTACATTTAAGGCTTGTATACTTTCATTATATATGGTATACTTCAAACATCCAAAAAAAGTGACTTTGTCTCATGTAAGTAATATTAACTAGATGAGTTTTGTAGTAAAGGCACAGAAAAATGAGCTGAGCTCCACAAAAGGATTTGAGAAGGACTTAATTAAGGAATCTATCAAAAAGGAAAATAAAACTTAACAACTTAAAGTATACCATCTGTAGCTAATTTAGTTAGGATAACTAGTTTTAGCCCAATTTGTTATATTTTACATACTTAGTACTTGGACTGTGTAACCACTAGAATTGTTGAATAAGCATATAACTATAAACTATAAATCATTTTATCCCAGTCCCTTGTAAAGTAATCTGGATCACCCTCCTCATTTTTAAGTCAGGGGATTTTTTTGTTTTGTGTTTTTTCTTAAATTTCCTATTCTTTTCAGGATAAAATACTGTTTAAAAATTAGGTAAAACTTTGGTTCATTGGAGAGGAATACACTTTATTAACTGACCAGTTTTTATCTAGTATTTTTATCCATATTTTCTCCCTCTTTTGTTTCCTTCATTTGAAAGAAAAAAATCATGAAAATAGTTTGGAATGTATTTACTCAATTTATATAATAGCCAGCAAAAATCAAATACATATTAGAACAAGATCAAAAGAATGAAGGTTTTAAACCGTCCTCTCATGAGACTTGCAGAATTTTCAAGACAAATTTCTACTATTTCAATAGTGGTAAAATATATGCTAGTGCAATACTTTTATTTTGCAAAAGGCAATAGAGAAGAAATATTAAATCAGTTGCCATAATTAATAATCTGATTCCTCATGGGGAGTGAAACATAGTTGCATAAACTCTTACTAAATGTGATTCTTCTCTTCAATTAAATTGTTATTGTCTTCCTTATATAATAAATACAGATGAAAAGTATTGATTTGGCAAGAGAACAGTATGCTTCTAAATTGTTTAATCATAAAGATAATCATTTTGAAAAACATTTGTGTTAGTTTATATGTAACTATGATATTTCAATATTTGGAGACCGAATAATTTCTACAAGGGAGAAGAGTATTCGAAGTAATGTGTTTTGGCACAGAATAGTAGCATTGTCCAATGCATATTCTACTTTCTTTGAAATGAATTTTTGCCTACACATTGAAAATAAATTCCTGAAATTGGTTAAACCTGTTTTTTTTTTTGATCCCTAATGAGATGTGAACTATAAAACCTAGAAGAAAAATTCCAGTGAATGAGTTCAGTTCTTTTTTATTGTTGGGTTGTTGTTGTTGTTGTTGTTTTGAGATAGGTTCTCTGTCTCCCAGGCTGTAGTGCAGAGGTGCAGACATGGCACACTGTTGCCTCTACCTCCTGTGCTCAAGCAATCCTCCCACATCAGCCTGCCGTTTCGGCCTCCCAACTAATAACTGGGGCTACAGGTGTGCACCACTATGCCTGGCCAATTTTTTTTATAAGTTTTGTAGAGATGGAGTTTCACTATGTTCGCCAGGCTAGTCTTGAACTCTGGGCCCAAGCGATCTTCTGTCTTAGCCTCCCAAAGTGCTGGGATTACAGGCATGAGTTATGGTGCCCAGTCAAGTTCAGTTCTTAAGGATCAGAATTCTGTGTACACTTTGCCAGCCTCCCACCAACTTCTGTCACCAGCTGTACTCTGTGCTACATGCCAGTGCAGTATAACAGTGGCTGAGTATGGAGAAGGAGCAGTGGGTGAAGAATAGCAATTCTCACAACTTAGTGCCATGACTCAAATTTCTGAGTCTTGATCCCCCCTTCTGCAGATGGTAAAGCAATTGAAATGGAGAGCCATGTTGGTGAAAAACCTGGTCCTTGTTACTCTCAATTTGTAACTATTGAGGAAAGAGAGAATAGGAGGAACCAAATGGCTGTTCTTTCAACCCAGCTTTAATTAGGTAGCTATCAACTATGGCCAACTTGGGGAGAGAAAACTGGAAACGTAAGCCAAATTACAAAAGGTATAAATAGGAGGTATCCACTGGCTTGGAATCCTAATGGTAGAAGGAATAAGCAATATGGAAGATGGCCATGTTGCTAAATTTTCATAACTTCATATTATCTTTTTTGTATGTGGTTATTCTGCGTGCATGCATGCTTCTGTGTTTATAAGCACCCCAGTAGTAATTATCATCAATTGAAATGACTACTAAAGTAGTCAGACAACCTGATTAGTGACCTAGACACCTCAAGGTTTTGCCCACAAAATAAAGAATATATAAATAATTTGATTACCATGTAACAGTGTTGCTGTGCTGGATTAATTAGCGGGAAAATGTGTGTGACTCTTTTGTCCATGATTGAGTATGATAAAATTTAAATTCTTCATACTACTTTCATATTATTTAAAAGTGGTATTATAATTTTCTTTAAAAGATATACATTAAGCACAGATGTCTGCCTTATAATCTGTAGTTAATAGCTTTGAATAAATTCATGGAAATTTAATTTTCTAGTAATGATATATCAAGAACAATTAACATTATACTGTTATTCTTTTGTTAGGATTTGGACCTTGGAAGGAGTGCAAACATCTCTTTTTGTTCTTCATTCTCCTGGCATGAGTGTGTGCTGGCATCCTGAGGAAACTTGTAAGGTAATTATGTATAATTTAAATCTCTTTTATCAAATGGAAAAGACATACAGAGATAAAGCGTCACATACATAGAGGAGAAAAATCAATGATTTTTCCCATCTCAGAGGTACTAATCACATAAATGCATTTGGATTAGTCTAGAAACCTGTACTGTAAAAGTTACTCTATAATTGTTAAGGTTTTTGTTTGCCAGCCATCATCCATAAATGGTTTTATTTTTTTTTCTTTTTTTTTGAAAGAAGGAGAGAAAGAAATAATGAAAAAAAGCAATGAAGGAGGGGAAGACAGAGGAAGAAAAAGAGGGAGAACAGGAATGTTGTTTTATTCTAAAAATGGGTATTGAAAACTTCTTTTATGCCAATAATTGTGCTTAATAATGGCCAATCAATATTTCATTTAAAGCTATGAGTAGGTGTGGTGTGATAACTGATAAGAATGTATATTTTGTGTATTTAAAGTGGAGAGCTCTATAAATGTTTATTAAGTTTATTTGTTCCGGATCTGAGTTCAAGTCCTGGATATCCTTATTAATTTTCTGTCTCATTGATCTAGCTAATATTGATGTTGAAGTCTCCCACTATTATTGTGTGGGAGTCTAGGGAGTCTAATTCTCTTTATAGGTGTTATGTATCTGGGTGTTCCTGTATTGGGTATGTATATATTTAGGATCATTAGCTCTTCTTGTTGCATTGATCCTTTTACCATTATATCTTTGTTGCTTTAAAATCTATTTTATCAGAAGCAAGAATTGCAACTCCTGCTTTTTATTTATTTATTTTTGCTTTTAAATGGCCTTTATTTAAACTACATTTTTCCTGACCTTTAGTGGATTTCAGTACAAAAACCGGTGTTCCAACGACCTAGTAGCAGTAGGCCGGGTTTTTTTGTTTGTTTTGGTCTTTCTTCTGTCTTTGTTTTTTTATAGACAGGGTCTCACTCTGTCACCCAGGTTGGAGTATACAATGGTGTGATCTAGGCTCATTGCAGCCTCTGCCTCCCAGTCTCAAGCAATCATCCCACCTCAGCCTCCTGAGTAGCTGGTACTATAGGCGCGTGCCACCACACCTGGCTAATTTTTTTGTATTTTTGGTAGGGCTGGGGTTTCGCCATCTTACCCAGGGTGCTCTTGAACTCTTGAGCTCAGATGATCCACCCACCTAGGCCTTACAAAGTGCCGAGATTGCAGGCATGAGCCAGTAGACAGTTTTTAAAAAAAATAATTTACATCATCCATGCTTGTGAGCCCTAGTCTGTGAACAAAAACGTTAGTGGCATAAGGCAAATTTGTCTCAGCTACAGTAGTGTCCAATTCCTATTCAAAATAAAGCTTTCTAAAATACTAAAAATACACTGCAAGTTTTTATTATCAATTACCCTTAATGCTGATTCATTGGGAAGATAGGAGCCATTAAACAAGAATTCTCTCATTTGCCAGTATTTTCTCCTGGTCATCACTGTAGTTACTGTATCTTTCCCTGGAATCTGAGAAGTTACCACTATCATCGTTCTTAAAAAGTTAATTCTTCATCTATTCTCTAAAGTTCATGGCAGTTCCTTAGGCTCCTACTGTCTTCTAATGTCTTCATACTTTTTTTTTTGAGACACAGTCTGGCTGTTGCCCAGGCTGGGGTACTGTGGCACAGTCAGCCCACGTTTAATCTGGTAGTTATCCCTAAGTTGGCCATGCTTGATAGTTTCATTTCCAGTAACTCTAGCGTTCTTCATTCACCGCAACCTTCATGTCCTGAGCGCAGGTGATCTTCCCATCTCAGCCTCCTGAGTATTGGTCTACAGGTATGCACCACTACACTTCGGCAATTTTTGTACTTTTTGTAGAGACAGAGTTTCGCCATGTTGCCCGAGCGGGTCTCAAACTCTTTGTCTCAAGTGATCTGCCCACCTCAGCCTCCCAAGTTGCTGAGCCACCGCATCTGGGCATCTTCATGCTTTTTCTCTATCGACTGTTTGTCCTCAGGTTTGCACAAGAAGATAAGTGTCAGTAATCATGCTTACTTCTGACAGTGCTTACTTCTGACAGGCCCATAGTCAGCATTTCATGTATGTTCCTCCTGGTAACATGAGATAGGTACTGTGATTATCCCCATTTTGCAGATAAGAAAACTAAGGCTCAAAGAAATTAATTATCCAAGGTCACACAGCTAGTAAGTGGAAGAATTGGCATTTGCACTCATGCAGCCCAGCTCCATAGTTCTTTCTCTTAAAAATTCCGTTTTTCCACCTCCCCCTTAAATTTTAAACTATGTTCATCACACCTTTTATTTCTAAATGTTTGACTCCATCACTTATATCTTTTAAATTCATTTCTTCTTTTCCCATCCCTTGGTCTAACTCCACAATCTCAGTCAGTCTCCACTACTCTTTCAGAAGGTACCAGGAATATTTTCATCACATCCCATGGCCTTTTCCTTCATTCTTATTCTTCAGCCAGGTTTTTTACACTGCAGATCACCTCCTTCTTAAAACTCTGCTAGTTTGATTTTTAAAGCCGCATTTCCTGAGTCCTCTTGAGCAACTTTGCGTATATGTTCCCTTTCTTTATACTCTGCCAACTTTTCTTTCATCAGATATTTATGAATTGCTTCAAGGGTTCTCACCTACACTGTACCCTTTATTGTAATAGGGAACAAAAGAATGAACAAAGTCCCTGCTCTTAAGTTGTATACTGACAATATAAGAAAGGAAAACATGTAAATACAGCAATACAAATAATAAGTTTTAGAATAAAAAAATCCATTAAGTAGAATAATGACATGAAGAAGGATTAACCAAATCTTCTCACAGCTTTCACAGAGGAGATAATCCCCAGACTATAAGTAAGTATGTTCTCTGAACCCTGGGATTTCATGGAAATTTGTTTCAGGCCCATTGTGTCTTTGATCTGTAGAATTATACTCTGCATATGTGCATGAGTGAAATGTTCTAACTTACTAAATTGATAGGTTTATTTCTGAATCCAGTTCCTAAATTTTGTTTTATGTCTGCATTTCTCCCCCCTAGAGCAGTGAGGCTCCTTAAATTAAAGCATAGTCACAGTTTTTACCAAAATGTTAATATAACAGTAGACTGCTTTTTAAAAACTATGACCTGCATGACAAGTGAGAACATTTATTACAACTTCTGTCCCCAAACTTACATCTTAATGCTTAATTTCTTGCCATTACTTTTTTTATCTCTTTCTTCCATATGCTTTAACTTTGTTTGTTTTTCTCCTACCTATTATTAAAATTCCACCTTACTCCATCTCCTTTCTTTTATGATGTTACCATGACTTCAGAATGTTTGAAAGTCCCTGTATTAAATCACATAAACTCAGAATCCTAAAATCATCTTTAATTCCTTCTTTTCCTATACCGAAACTATTCCAGGCCTTTTAATTTTTCCTTCATCTCACTAACTCTAGCATTCTTCTCTTCATTAAGGTGCATTCTCCGCCGTTCTGTTCTCACACCTAACTTGCCAAGCCTTAACTTGTTTCTAAAGTCTTTTGCTCTTTACTCTTTGATTCTTCTTTCCTACTAGACTAAGAGTCTTAAAATACCAGTTTCATCCTATCACTGCTAAACTCAGAAACCTAGAATACAGAAAAGTGGTTAAGAGTGAGTTAAGAGTTAACCGCCTGCAGTCAAATCCCAGTGTTACCACTTACTAGCTATGTAATCTCTGATAAGTTACTTAGACTCTGTCTCACTCTCTTCACATCATCTTAGGGAATTTTTTGGAGATTGTTACATAGCCTCTTACTTCCTTTACATTTGATCCTCCATTTGTTATATAGATTGAGTATCCTTATATGAAATTCTTGGAACTAGCAGTGTTTCAGATTTGGGATTTTTTTTGTATTTTGTAATATTTGCATATGCATGAGATATCTTGGGAATGGGACCCAAGTCTAAACATGAAATTTGTTTGTCTCGTGTATACCTTATACACATGATTTGAAGATAGTTTGTTTTTTTTTTTTGTGGGGGGAGGAAGGCAGGAAGGAAGGGAATAAGGACAGTAGGGAGGAACGAAGGGATGAAGGAAGGAAGGAAGGGAGGAAGCGGGGAGGGAGGGAGGGAGGGAGGGAGGGAGGGAGGGAGGGAAGGGAAGAAAGGAAATCAAGCAATGAAAGAGACATTGCCGACCTGAATCTAGAGGTTTACAAGTTGATTTCTTTTTTTTTTGAGAGAAGGAAAGAAAAAAATAATAATAAGTAAAGGAGAAGAAGAAAGAGGAAGAGAAAGAGGGAGAGTAAATGGAAATATTGCTTTATTTTGAAAAAAATTGGGTATTAATAATGGCCAATCAATGTTTCATTTAAACTAATGGGTGGGTGTGGTGTGGTATTGACAAGAATGTATATTTTGTGTATTTGAAGTGGAGAGCTCTATAAATATTTATTAAGTTTACTTGTTCTGGATCTGAGTTCGAGTCCTTGATATCCTTATTAATTTTCTGTCTCATTGAATCTAAGTCTCCTATCTGGGTGTTAGGATCGTTAGCTCTTGTTGTTGCATTGATCCTTTTACCACTATATCTTTGTTGCTTTAAAATCTATTTTATCCGATACGAGAATTGCAACTCCTGCTTTTTATTTATTTATTATTTATTTTTGCTCTCCATTTGGTTGGTAAATCTTTCTCCATCCCTTTGTTTTGAGTCTTTGTGTATCCTTGCATGTGAAACAGGTCTGGATGTAACATGCCATTGGGTTTTGGCTGTGTCTTTTGATTGGGAATTCAGTCAATTTAAATTTAGGGTTACTGCCATTTGATGTTGACTGGCTGTTTTATCCATTTGTTGGTGTAAATTCTTCTTTATGTTGGTGCTCTTTACTTTTTGGTGTATTTTTAGAAAGGCTAATACTGGTTGTTTCTTTCTGTGTGTGATGCTTCTTTCAGAAGCTCTTGTAAAGCAGGCCTGGTGGTAATAAAATCTCTGAGTTCTTGCTTTGTTCATAAAGGATTTTATTTTTCCTTCAGTTGTGAAGCTTAGGTTGGCTGGATATGAAATTCCGGGCTGAAGGTTCTGTTCTTTGAGGATGTTGAATATTGGCCCCCACTCTCTTCTGGCCTGTAGAGTTTCTGCCGAGAGATCTGCTGTAAGTCTGATAGGCTTGCCTTTGTGGGTAATCTGACCTTTCTCTCTGGCTGCCCTTAGTATCCTCTCCTTCGTTTCAACCCTGGTGAATCTAACGATTATGTGCCTTGGGGTTGCTCTTCTTGAGGAATATCTTTGTGATGTTCTCTGTATTACCTGGGGTTGAATGTTGACCTGCTTTGCTAGTTTAGGAAAATTTTCCTGAATAATATCCTGAAGGGTATTTTCCAGCTTGGATTCATTCTCTCCGTCGCATTCAGGTACACCTATCAAACGTAAATTTGGTCTTTTCACATAGTCCCACATTTCTTGGAGACTTTGCTCATTCCTTTTTATCCTTTTTTCTCTAATCCTTTCTTCACGTTTTATTTCATTAAGTTGGACTTTGACCTCTGATATCCCTTCTTCTGCTTGAACAATTCGAGTGTTTAAACCTGTGCATACTTCTCGGAGTTCCTGTATTGTATTCTTCAGTTCCATTAATTCATTCATACTCCTCTCTAAGTTGTCTGTTCTCAATAGGATTTCATCAAACCTTTTTTCAAAGTTCCTAGTTTCTTTACGTTGGGCTACAACATGTTCTTTTAACTCACCGAAGTTTGTTATTATCCATTCCTTGAAGAGTGATTCTGTCATCAGGATGCGCTCGTTCTCCATCAAGCCTTGTTCCATTGTTGATGTGGAACTGTGATCATCTTTAGAGGGAGAGGCGTCTGACTTTGAGTATTCTCAGCTTTTTTACGCTGGTTTCTTCCCGTCATTGTAAATTTATCCTCCTGTCGTCTTTGAAATTACCAACTTTCAGATTAGGTCTCTTGAGTGGACGTCCAGGTTGTTAGTTCCCAGGGCCAGAGCAGCAGCGTTAAAACTGATGGTGTTTTTCTGCCCAGGATTCTCCTGTCGGGCTTCCTTCTTGTTTCCGTAGTAGGCGACTCTGCCTTCCCGGGGCTCCAAACCTCAGTCAGAAGGGGAACCGGTCCTGTTTACTCTGCGCGGAGCGCTGCCACGTCAAGGTGCCGGCGGAACCGCTGCGCCGACCATGAGAGTCGCGCTGGCGACTCGTGTGTTTCCACCACTGGGGGATCTTCTGCTCCGTGAGCGACCAGACTTTGTCTGAAAGTGTGGCGTCCTCTAGTTCTCCGCACCTTCCCTGAGAGCTGCAATCCCGGGATGTTAGCGATCGGCCATCTTGGATCGTTCTCTGAAGATAGTTTTATATAACTTTTTTATAATTTCACACATGAAACAGTTTGTGTTAAGTGCTTATATGTGGAATTTTTCACCTGTGGCATCATGTCGGCACTCAAAAAGTTTCAGTTTTTGGAGCATTTCAGATTTTCAGATTAGGAATGCTCAACCCTGTATTTTACTGTATAACAGTGAATCTGCTCACACCTCAGGTATAATTAGTGAGATAAGGGACTGAGTTTCCTTTTCTTTTTTTTTTCTTATAGCTGATGGTTGCAGAGAAGAATGGAACAATCCGGTTTTATGATCTTTTCGCTCAACAGGCTATTTTATCTCTTGAATCAGAACAAGTGCCATTAATGTCAGCACACTGGTGCTTAAAAAACACCTTCAAAGTTGGAGCTGTTGCAGGAAATGATTGGTTAATTTGGGATATTACTCGGTCCAGGTACTTTCTTGATTATACTTGTTTATTACAGAAGAAAAGTAACTTTGCTAAATGATCCACTTGGCCATCCTGTTACACCTGGGACTACACTGACAAGCAAAAAGAATTCTCTCCTATAGAAGGCCAGATCTATGGATTTTTACCTAACATAAGCTTGCTATGCAGATTTACTCTGGAGGTAACCCAGAAAGGACAGTGCAAAAGAGGAAATTGTGGATCTGTGCAATGTTTACTTATATTGGAAAATAGGGGAAAAAACCAACCCTGTTGCATAACAGTTCCCTGTAATGGTTCTAAGTCATGTCTTTATTGTGTTCCATCTGTTTTAACTGATTGCTTGTTTAGGATGTATTATAGAAACACATTGGACATTCTGTCCTATAAAGAGAAAATACCTTTTAAATCTTAGTTTAAGTTCATCTTCTTGAGTCTAATAGAGAATTCATAAAATGCAAAATATTATCTTTTAGTTATCCTCAAACTAAGAGACCTGTTCACATGGATCGAGCCTGCTTATTCAGGTAATACCGTTTTTGTTGGAGCTTTGATTTGGTCTTTTGATGTTGTGCTGTGCCATCACTGGTCTACTTGTGTAGTTCTTTCCTTTGCACTGGATTTTTTTTTCCCTGATTGTTTTATAAGTGGTTATTTTACTTTCCCAACTAAGTCATTGCTTTTTTCTTTTGGTCTAGACAAGGAGTTGATTTGTTTCCAAATATTTTCCTTACACAAAAAAACATGTAACTACTCCACCACTACCGCCCGACAATTTGGAATATATTATGCTTCCCGATTGTGCTGTGCTGTTAAGGATGTAAATGTAGGGGAGCCCATGTTCATGTATATAAACTTATCGTTGTGTGTTAAATGAAATCATGCTAGATAGCATATCTCTGCAATGTGTTTTTATTTTTCACTTAACATACATATCTGCCTTGTTCTTTTTCATAATACTCCATTGTATAGTGTGGTCATTAAGCTATTATTTCTTCTTTTTAAGTAACAGCCAAACCAAATAAGAGACTAAAACCAGTTATTGGGGATATTTTAGATTTGCTGGAATATAGCATAGTCTGTATTCCAGCAAATCTGAAATATCCCTGATAAAATTGTAGAACTTGGGGATGTCATTATTGAGAATAAAATACATTTGACTAAATGTAAGAATGCCATGGATTATAAGATACATCCTGACTTTAGAGATGTGAACAAGTATACACCAATGAGCAAGTATACATCAATTTTAAAATCAGTGAGCTATGGTACTTATAATTCTGTAGGTAATCTCCGGGCTTGTTTAGCAGCTCATCAGTGTCATCAAGAATTCACAGACCCTTTTCATCCTTTCCCTCTGCTATTCTCAATGGCAAGGATTTGGGCTTGTTGCTTTATAGTCACTGGATGGCTGTGAGAGTTCCAGGCATAAGAGAATTACTCCATTTGCAGAACAATTAAACAAAAAAAAAGGAGAAGAAGGAACCCTCTCTTTTTATGGGAGATTGCTGTGACTGCCTTAAACTAATTGTGTCTCATCCCTGGGAGTTGGACACCCTGTGCCCTGAACAAAGTTGGGGTTCACTTAGCATGGAAAAGGGACAGAATGGCTGTCATATTTGATGCCTTATTTGTGTCTTCTCCCACACTGTTAGCCCTTTGGGTTGTGAAAAAAAGGACTGTATTAACCTTGTGTAACTTTGGAACTTAATGAAGTGACACAAAATAAGCACTTCATAAATATTTAAAGTATGAGAAAATATTTATGGAATATTTTCCTGGAATTCCTAGTCTAATTATAAAGACATATGAACGAATTTAGCATTATTAAAATCACTGGTTTTATATAAAAAGAAACCTGTTTCTGGCCAGGTGCTGTGGCTCACACCTATAATCCCAGCACGTCAGGAGGATCACTTGAGGTCAGGAGTTTGAGACCTGCCTTGGCAAGATAGCAAAACACCATTCTTACAAAAAATAAAAAAATGTAAACTTATCTGGGCCTCCTGGTACACACCTGTAGTCCCAGCTACTAGGGAGGCTGAGGTGGGAAGATCACTTGAGCCCAGGAATTTGAGGCTACAGTGAGTTTTGTTAGCACTTCTGCACTCCAGCCTAGGTAACAGAGCAAGACCCTGTCTCTTTAAAAAAAAAAAAAAAGAAAAGAAAAAGAAAAAACCCGCTTCAGAAAAGCTTGTAGTTATCTGAAGGATACGATACTTACTTTTATGCTTCCTTATTTCTTAGGTGGTCCACAATTAGTGAAAATCTGTTTGCAACTACTGGTTATCCTGGTAAAATGGCAAGCCAGTTTCAAATTCATCATTTAGGACATTCTCAGGTAATGTGGAAATATTTTGTAACATATGTGCTTTTCTTAATTTGTGTTTTTGACTTTTCCACTCATAGGTCTAAATTTGTAATTTGTTAACTAAAAACATTTGTATCTGTTTAATTGCAAGAAAAGGTGATTAATTTGTTTTTTATTTTTGTGTGTTTTTTGATGTTTACATTACCAGTGACAACAGATTTTTTGGCCAATATTCATGTAAGAAGCTTTTTATTTTTTCTGTCACTTTTATATTTTCTTCTTTATTTAAATACATTAATTTTGCTTGTTTGGTTGCTGTAGACAGCAAAAATGGCGTCTGGAATGTACCAGTTTTTCATAGATAGATTGTATCCCATATTCCAGCTGCATACCAGTAATGTGTATTTCACCTGTAAGGGAGAATATTTTTAAATTTTGTTTCTGCTACAAATATAATTTATCAGTGCATTTCATATTTTTGAAAGTCATTTTGATTTATTAATTTTGGGGACTTACTGTGCTTCTTGAATTCTTTACATATTTTATAGCCCGTCCTCGTGGGTTCTGTACCTGTTGGATCTGGCCTCTCCTGGCATCGAACTCTCCCTCTGTGTGTCATTGGAGGAGACCACAAGCTGTTGTTTTGGGTGACTGAAGTATAAAGTTTTCTCTGTACCTTAGAGTCACAAACTTTGTATTTTTAATACACATTTTGAAGAATTTCTTATTTTTATATCAAATATACTGTATACTTTAGAAAATGTTTCAGTTGCTTTTATTACATAAAATGTTCATGGTTTGAAAAATTATTTTCCTACTCTGTTCTTTGTGTGTATACATATATATCTTTTTTAATCGTCTTATAAAACTATATATTGACTCAGCAGCTCGGCTCCAGAGAAGAGATGACTAAGGAAAAGTAATGCTTTTGAGTTTATCAAAAAAGGAGTATTCAAAGTGTATCCTGTCTTCTATACTTTGAGTGTAGAATTCTAATTCTCAGGGTCACAAACATATCAAAAGAGAATAAAGTCCAGGTGCAGTGGCTCACACCTGTAATCCCAACACTTTGGGGGGCTGAGGGGGGTAGATCACTTGAGGTCAGAAGTTTGAGACCACCCTGGCCAACATGGTGAAACTCTATCTCTACTAAAAAAATTAAAATAAAAAAATTAGCCCAGCATGGTTTGAGAGGCCAAGGTAGGAGAATCACTTGAACCTGGAAGGCAGAGGTTGTAGTGAGCCAAAATCGTTCCACTGCACTGCAGCCTGCGCGACAGAGCGACACTATCTCAAAAGAAAAAAAATCTCTTAGGGTACTCTGGAAGTGGTTGTTGAGTACATATATGTGTATGTATACTCAATGCAAAAAATGGTCTTTAGTTTCTTAAATATGTGATTGATTATATTACTCAACCCTGTTTATGCAGATTCCTTCGGACTAGGTATTTTAACAGTCTTAGAACATCTGATATATGGGATAAAACTTACCTTGAAAAATGACTTCTAGTGGATACCTTTTTAACAGCCTCTTTTATGAATCTTCACTGTTCTTACCAAGAAACTCAAATGTTTTTGAGATGGGACCTAGTGGCAATAGAACTGTGTTCACCGTCTCAAAAATCATTAAAAATCAACATTACCTAAGACAGCTGTATCACATTTCTGGAGTACATTGTGATACAGACAGAAGCATATAAAATTATGGTTCTGCTTATCAGTCCTGTATAGAATTCAATACATTTTGACAAACTGTCCATTCCTGTAAGTTAATGTCCTCTCTGTAGCTTCATTTCCTCTTGTAAAATGCAGATAGAAATCATTGTTTTGTGGAGTTGCTGTAAGGATTAAATAAAGGTGAAAGAAAATACCTACTATGTGTCTGTCACACAGTTTAGAGATGTGTATTTATTTCAGATGAGTAAGTCTTATTTTTGAGGTTTTAGAGATTTATGTTTAATTAATGCCAATAAATATTTTTTACTCAAGTTTTTGTAAGGTGTCTTAAAATAATTACCTTAGGAAATCAAGAACATTATATTTTTAAGAGATAGGAGAATGTTCTAGGTAATTAAAGAATTCAGTGAAATTTTATAATCATGTAGATGTTTGGGTTCAACTTTTACAAGCTTAAAAGTACAGATGAAAAATTTTATAGCAATTTCCAGTTCAATTATTTAATACAGTAAGATATTAAAACCAAATGATATAAATTGTTTCATTTACCCCTTTATCAGAAGATTTTGAACTAACAAAGGAAAAAGCAAAGAGCAGGGAATTTTGGCATGATTCTCTTTAAGAGTCTCTGTGATGGGACAAGGATTCCTGAAAGTATCTGGATAGCCAAAGGGCTTTCAATAGTGACTCTTAAAAAACTTTATCATTTCAGGGTGTATCCAAGAAATAAAGTCATCCCTAAGGCCGGTGTATTCAAAAATGGTTGTTACATACTTCGAAAAATTGATGTAGGAAGTGGTGGGTTTTATTTAGGGATGGAAAGTAGGGAACTGAATATGTTGGGCTTGGGTATATAAGAAATGGGTTCTCTGGAATAAGGGCTTATCCAAAATAAAAAAGTTGTCTGATGAAATTACCCAATAGGGCTGGGTGCGGTGGCTCATGCCTGTAATCCCAACACTTTCGGAGGCTGAGGCAGGCAGATCACTTTTGGTCAGGAGTTCGAAACTAGCCTGGCCAACATGGTGAAGCCCCATCTCTACTAAAAATGCAAAAACAAAATTAGTAAGATGTTGTGGCACATGCCTGTGATCCCACTCACTCGGGAGGTTAAGGCAAGAGAATCGCTTGAACCCTGGAGGCAGAGGTTGCCATGAGCCAAGGTCGTACCATTGCACTCCAGCCTGGACAACAGAGTGAGACTCCATCTCAAAAAAAAAAAAAGATTACCCAGTAGGACTTCTGTATCTTGCAGTAGGGAAGCTGTGTTGGAAAACAGTAACTCATGATGATTGCATGTGGTTATGCCAAAAGACAGGAAATGTTCTCCTCAAGGAGAAGAAAATGGTGGTTCCATTTGTGAATGAATATAGTGACTGTAAGATAAGACATTCTCAAGAAATGAGAGGGTTGCCTTTACCTGTTAGTTTCAGGAGTGAAATGTACTTTATCCTGTGTAAGCATTGAGAACTTTAACCTCTTTTTCTTTAGATCGTAAAAGTAGGCTACAGGACCATTTTCCAACTTACACTTTGTTGTTAAACTTTATTTTGAAATTGTATAGTGATTTTTTTTACTTAGTAAAGTTTGTTCTTTGAAATATGTTTAAATTATACTAAACAGGAGGAAGTATTTATGAGGAATTAGTTACTGGTCATCACTTCTAATTCCTGATGATAACATGAGATATTTCACATTGCGTGTCCTGGTTTTAGTTTTTCCATGTTTGTTTATAAATATGTCTAAATTTCTGTTATAATTTAAGTTTTCCTCAGGATTGTTTCACTTAAAACATCAAAGAGAAAAAGTTGTACTTATGTTCTAAAACTTGTATTATTTAGGACTATTGAAGCAAAAGTCAGGATATCACAAATCTGCAAGATGTCAGAGCTAAATCCTACTTTTTCAGAATGATGGGATTATAAGTTCCATTTCATTTTTATGATTTGGCTTATATGTTGTGAATATTTCAATGTCTCTCCCATGCCAAAACAAAATCACACACCCATGCACTCCAATTTGTTTCTTACTTTGGTAATTTGTGACTGCGTATTGACACTGACCCCGAAATGTTTCTGTTGCTGTTTTAAATCTCATGTCAGTGGAGAAGAAATTGAAATCTGGTTTGCACATTTGTGTCTGTTTTTTTGTAATTGTCCAAAATCTGACATTGTCCCAGAGATGCTGATTGGGAAGTTATGAGGTAATATTGTGCCCAAGACTGATTTTAATAGTTTTTAGGAGAGGAAAAGGTATGGCTCTAGACTATTTTCCATGTTTTTCTATACCTCGAAAAGTTAAACTTAGTTTAGCCCAACTTTATTCCATAGAAGTAGTAGCCTTAGCTCTGGGCTCAAATAAAATTTGCCAAATAAAAATGATAATTATTATTCATTTCCACACACTCCTCCTGAGAGCTTGGTCAAGTCCTCAGAAGCAGCATTGTGTTCCAATATATCTTGATCAAACTGTTTGCTCAGTAAAAAGGACAGGAGAGAACACTCTGTTTCTTTAATTTTAACACCTTGCTGATTCAAAACCATTTATTTTAACAGGCATTTGAAAAGAATTTCAAAACAATTAACATTTGTTTCTAATTATACATTTGAAGAAATAATGCCCTTTAAAAATGTGAGTAGAACTTTCTTATTAACGTGATTTTAATTTATAGCAACCATTTGTTACCTAATCACAATAACACCACAAAATAATTAATGTATCAGCTTTGAAGATCTCATTTCACAAAAGCTAGAAAAACACACATGTTATGATATATCCATTACTCAAACTCATAAGCACTTCCATTTGCATGCATTGGGCACAGATTTCATGGAAAATCAAAAGCATATAATCTACTTTCTGACTTTTTCATCTGTTCTTTGAACTACCTTAATTAAAAAAAAAGTGTTGCCCTTGTGTAGGATCAAGTGATGTCTGAAACTTTCCTTGGATCAGCTTATTTCTGTGATATAGCTGTTTGCCTTTTGAACTAATTTTTGACAGGATGCTCTACCTTGAGGCTTGTAACACTTAATGTAAGCTTATAAAATCCACATGAACAATGGTAAACATGAGGAGACCACCAGGTTTCTCAGCCTTTACAAACAATTTGATATAAAGATTTATGAAATATTCATTTTTACCAACTGCATTTATAATGCTGTAATGAGTTTCTATTTCTGTGTAGTAAAAGACAATAAATGCTGCTGGCATCTTTGCTTCTAATGGTGGTTAAACATAAAACTTTGATCTTATAAACACAGCTGTTGTCCTATCATTGAGCCAAATTCAGACAGGATTAAAATCTGGCCAAAATTGAGGTTAATCTTTGCAACCATCTTAAGTAAGAGCTTTCTAATACTGTTTTAGGAAATCTGTTTTTGAAACAGCATAAAAGGAAGTAAGTTCCAGACAACTGACCTCTAAAGTAAGCCAGACGCAACTAATGATAAATTATACCATAGTGATAAAGAAGATAGAAAGGTGGAAACTGTCTAACCAAATAAGTTCATTTTGGTTCATTTTTACTTAGAAAGTCAGCTTTTACCATAATAGTCTTAGTTTACATTAAGTTTAAATCAGACCAATATAAGTTACTTTTTAATGAACTTTCAACCATCTTAATTTAATGTTTCTTTGGTTAATTGCTAGTATTTTCTTCCACTAATACTAACTAAAACTAGGTGTTTATTACAAATAGAATAACTTGATATTTCATTGTAATTGTTGTGTAATAGCTCATTTTGGTTTCCAGCCTACAAAAAATTTTTTTTTCATTAAGTATTAGACTTTCTGAAATTTTGTATACTTTGCCAAATGTTCTGTAGGGCTGATTATCCTGTGATTTGGACATTAGCACCTCAAGCTGTATTGTGAACAGCTAATAATGCATTTCTCTCCAAATTACCTATTCCAAGAGAACCTTTGTGGGACTACCCCTCACCTGAAATCTGTAGAGCTAATATTGGATTTATCTCATAGGATTTTCCTGGCATGTGATTTTGCGCAAGTACAGGATGTGGTTATATAGACAGCTTTCAGAGGTCTCACCCCATCCTGGACTTAATCCACAAATCCATTAAATCCCAAAACTAGGAAACAATTCTGGAATTCTGTCAGTGTTTTTTGACCT